CAGTGATCCTCCTGCCTCAGCCTCCTAACTTCTGGGTTCCAGGAGTGCCCACCATGCCCAGCCTTGTCCTTCTTATGGGCAAGAAAGCAGGTGCCAGCGCTTCCTCCAGGGCCCACCCACACCCTGGGGTTGTCCCTCCCTTGCCACAGGCTTGGGGACCACAGGAGCCCTGAGGGTCCCTGTACTTTCGCAGGAGACTGCGCCACTTCACCGACCCAGCTGCAGACAGCAAAGCTGTAGAAGAAGAGGCACAGCGGGTGCTTATATTGGGCAGCACTGGCGCCCTCACATTATCTCCCTAGGGAGCCAGGGAGGGAGCCCCACCTTCTGGCTGCATCCCTGCACCACTCCGGGTGTCCCTCCAGGTCTGGCCCTGAGATCTTGCTGCGAATGGGCTCCTTTGCACAAATGCTGTGCGTTTTTCTGAATTCGTGGCAGAGCCAGTTTACACCTGCACTGATGAAAGACGCAGGCAAGCTGCTAGGCCTTGTTAAGTTCTGTTTGCTTTGCCTTTGCGTGTAAAACATAGCTGTCATTTCAGAAAAACCCTCCAGGCAGGTGGGCAGGGGATGCTTGGGACCCTGGGTCGGGCAACCCCGTGACCCGCACCGCAGTGCCCTCCCTGCCTCGGTGGGCAAGGCTCGGAGGGCTGCACCCTTGTCTGCTCTCCTCCCGCACCCCCACCCCGATCTGCTTCTGCAGTCATGGTGACCTTGCTCTGAGCTGGGTGATCTGGGCAGACGGGGAGATGCGATGACCACACCCATCTCTCTCCCCCACTGCCATGTCGGGACAGGGCCGGGCAGCGGCCCTCTGGCAGCAGGGGCACACATTTTCCTAAAAGGCCAGAGAGGAGGTGTCTTGGGCTCTGGGAACCACGCGGGATGCCCAGCTGCACCCGCCCCCCTAAGTAGCTACAGTGACATGAGAGCCAAGAGTGTGGCCATGTGCCAATAAAACTTTATTTAAAAAACAGGCAAGGGGCTAGGTGTCCTTCACAGACCCCCTGCCGCTGACGGCAAGAGAACAACAGAGCCCAGCCGGGGCTGAGGTGCGGGCAGAGGTGGGGCCCCCAGCCCAGCCTGGCTGGCACATGTCCCACAGCTTTGTAGGCGTGGCCCACCGCATGGCGGGTTTCCAGGCCACAGAGCAGGGCTCTCCCCATCTGTGTTGCAGGCCACAAGGGCCACTCTGCTTTCTGCCTCAGATCGCTGAGCGGCGCCTTCCGGGTGCTCCTCCCCGTCCTCGGCTGGCGCGCCTGCCGCTGCATACAGGCTTAGCACATGCAGGAAGGCGCCGTCCACGCGCCTGTCGGGAACAGTGTGGAAAAGGCACGTGTTGGGCATCGCGGTCACCGTCCCTGGAGGCCCCCGGCTGTGCCGCCTGTCCCTGGGGTCCAAGCCCCTGACCTGGTGACCGAGGCTGCGGCCCGGCAGCCCCCGGCCCCGTGCAGAGTCAGGGCCCAGCCCTGAGGCTTGTGGGGTGAGGGGCCGGCAGCTGGGGTCAGTGCCGCCCGTGCCTGATCCAGTTCCGGATGGTCCACTTCTGCCCTGAGCACCGCTGCACCACCAGCCGCAGCCCAAAGTTGGCATCTTTGGACACTTCCACCTCCAGGCAGCGGCCCGTGTCTCGGCTCACAATGGGACCACCCTGGGAGGAAGAGTTAGCTTAGGAGCCAGGCCCCATTCCCAAAAGACACACCGGGAGGGGTGACCCCAGCCCAGGTGGGCTCTGCGCAGCCTAGGTCCCAGGTCCTCGCTCCTATCTCTGTCCCGTGTCCCCAGTGGCCACACTCAGCCTGCCACCTGCTCTCGGAGGTTGAACAGGCACCAGGAACACGTCCAGGTCCATTGGCTCCCTTGTGCCCCCAAGACATTGATGAACCTGGCCCCGCCTGGCAACCCCAAAACAGGCTCCGCAGGTCCCCGGCTGGCCCTTGGCACCCACCCCGACCCAGGCCCAGACCCTCATACCCTTGTGGCACAGCGAGCAGCAGCACCAGCCCTCCCGGTGGCTGGAAGCCCCCAGCCCATGGCCCAGGGGCAGCAGGGGTGCAGGCCAACTGAGCAGGACTGGGTGGGCACACAGGGGCCAACTTGGGGCGTCTATCTCCTGCAGCAGGACTGAGTCACCTGCTCAAGTCACCCCAAGACCTGCTATCCTGAGCCAGGGCCCGGCAGCCCCTGCACCCCATTCCTCTGCACCCTCACCCACAGCCCGGGGCCTGCTGACCTGAGTGAAGTCCCATAGCCGCTGCGCAGGCCGCACTACATCCTCACACCTGCGCAGAGCAGGCGTGCGGCCCCGGCCGGCGTCCACCAGACACTTGGAGTCAGGCAGGAAGGCGGTGGAGCCCAGGGGCCCCAGCTGTAGGAGGCCATCGGTGCTGTACCGCACGAGCTGGGGGGACAGCAGCCCTGAGCAGCTGGGCCTGGGAGGAGAGACACAGGGGCCCTACCCCCAGGGAAAGAAGGCAGGCAGGCTGGGTGGGGCAGTGAGGCCAGTGAGAGGAGAGGAGAGGTCACGCGGAGTAGGCTAAGCCTCAGGCCCTGTGCTCAGAAAGCTCTGGCAAGAATGGGCCCTGTTCTGCTGGCAGCAAGTGCCAAGGACTGTGCTCCCGGGATCCTGGCCGCCATGTGCTGGGACTGAGAGGCCGGCGTGGTGGAGCCTCAGGAGCCCTTCGTGTGAGTGGGCCTCCAGCCCCTTACTGCTCCCAAGGAAGCCTGGTGCTTTGCAGGCCCTGGACCTCAGCTGCCCGGACCCCACTGGCGCCTGGTCAGTGTCCACATAGCCCGGGACTGGCTCTAGAGCCAGCAGGTACACAGTGAGAAGGCTGCGCAGTGCGGAAACAGCGACTGTCCCCTGTGTCACAGCCACTCTGCGGCCATACCTTGCTCTCCCCTCTACCCACAGCACACCTAGGGACTGTCCTGTCTCACAGGAGACAAGGCATGGGACAGGAGGGATTTGGTGAGACCTGTTTTTGTTCGTCTGTTTGTGTTGAGACAGGGTCTCTCTATGTAGCCCTCAAACGTGAGTTGGCCTTTCAGCCTCAGCCTCCAGAGTGCTGGGGTCACAGGCATGTACCACCACGTCCAGCTTGCTGAGAGCTCTTTCACCCAAGGCCTGGCCCTCTGCGCTGTGTCCCTGGCGCCCACCTGGGAGGACAGGCCATGGCACGGGTACAGGATGGCCCGGTCATCGTCTTCTGCTCCCTGGTCCAGGCAGTAGCCGCTGGCTTTGCTGTTTCTCACCTGTGGCCAGAGGGACAGGGTCACCAGGAGGCCCCCGATGTGAGCCTGGTGGCTGGTGTGCTCCAGGACAGGGAGGCAGGGGCAGGTTGGGGAGGGACCTGCACATCTGTGGGTGCGTGTGGAACCCCGCCCCACAGGCAGCGCACATGCAAGGGTGGCTGTGACTGGCAGAGGGGCTGTGTCACGAGCTCTGGGGATGGCCCTGCCCATGAGCGCACCCCCTCCGGGAGGCAGAGGCAGGGCCGTGTGGAGTCTGGGCCGGGCTGCCCCACTGGCTAGTCAGGGATTAGCGGCCGGCGCCAGCTGCAGCCTTAGGGGACCCTGGCTGGGCACAGAAAGACAGCTGCATCTCAGGTCGCGGAGCGTGAGAACCAGGGCAGCGCGGGCGGAGGGGGCAGCGCGGGCGGAGGGGGCAGCGCGGGCGGAGGGGGCAGCGCGGGCGGAGGGGGCAGCGCGGGCGGAGGCCAGGAGAGGCTGGGCAGCCGCAACCCCTGCCTGTCACACACGGGGTGTTCCCCACACCCAAAACCAGGGGCCTGGCACTGATCAGGCTGGCCAGGAGCCTGGACGTGGACCACAGAGAGGTCTGCGCCTGCCCCCTCCTGCCCACGCTTCAGGGTGGCCTTACTTCTGTGCAGAAGCAAGTCTCTCGGGCTGAGTGCAAGGCAGTGCAGGAGAAAGGGACGGTGCCCCGGGCCTGGCCTCAGAGTCTGTGCTGCCTCCTGGGCGCCAGTAGGGACTGGGTTCTCATGCAGCCCACTGCCTGCGTGCGTGTGTGTGAGCATGCACACATGTGCACCATGGGGCCCACCCATGGCCGTGCGTGTGTGCAAGTGCATGGTGTGTGTGCACACGCATCTGGACAACAGCTGGTTGTGCTTATCTGTGCACAGGTTCAGGCAGAGGTGAGATGTGGTTTGTGCCTGAGGAGTGCCGTGTGCACACATGCAAGGCTGCAAGCCCCTGCGTCCGTGGGCACTGGTACACGCCCATGTGCACGCTTTGGCATGCATACCCACATGTGGAAGTCTGTTTGCATGTGTCTGTGCACACATGTGAGTGTGGGTCTGCCAGCATGGACACACACGTGCCCGAACATGTATGTGTCAACACGAGCACACACAGCAGCACACATGTTCATGCATGTGTGCATACTTACATGCACATGGTATGTGACTACTGCATGCCTTCTAGAACACACACACCTATAAGCACATTCAGTTCATGCCACGCATTCACATACTTGTGGGTGTATATGTCACAAACACACGTCCAAGTGTTTGCACAGAGGCACCTGGCACGTGCGTCTGTCCACGCAAGCGTACATGTGTGTGTCTGTGTCTGTCTCCGCTTGCGCATGTCTCTGTGTGCAAGGGTCTGCAAGCGGGCTCGTATATTGGGGCAGCCACATAGTGTCCTCCAGAGCGCGCCACACATGTGCCACGCGAGGGCCCTGTGGCGAGCGGTACCTCTCCGTACGTGAGGGTGTTGTTGTAGATCCTCATCTCAGGGTACACATTCTCCAGGTACCAGCGGAAGCTGCGGCACTTCAGCCTCTGGCGCAGGGCCCGCCTCTCGGACACGTCCCCGAAGTCCACCCCTGGGTTCTGAGGCAGAGACAGCAGATGGGCAGTCGTGTGCCTGACTCTCAGAGCCTCCTGCCTGGCCCGACGCTGTGCCACTCTGGGGGGACCTGGAGTGTAGCCCCGCCCAGTCTCTGCTGTCTCTCCTTCCCTGAGACGGTGACCTTGCCAGTGAGCCATGGTCCTGGGTCTGAACCCTGTCACTTTGTGTGGCCTCGGGACAGTTCTTGAGCCCACTGTGCCTCAGTTTTCTCACTTGCAGGCTGAGGAGGGTCAGTGGTTGCCCTGCTGTGGATGAAGTGAGTGGGCACTCCCAAGGATCCTTGGATCACAGGGTGTGGGTGGGAAATACCACCCCCTCGAGGTTGATGGGATGGCTCTGCTGTGGGGTGTCTTCGCATCCCCAGTCTTCAAGGGACACTGCCATGCCACACAGGTACGGAGCAGTTTCCTTCCCAGCTGCCATCCACACAGTTGGCCTGGGTCCCCTAATCTGGCTGGATATGGCCCTGGTGGGAGGCACCCCAGGACGAGCCTCATTTACTGCAGCAGGGCTTGGGGGGCACCGTGCAGCTCAGGCACTGGGGACCCAGGCCCCTTGGTAGGGACACAAGACCTGGTTCTGGCTGTGGGTTAATGGAACAAAGGGCAGCTTCTGGGGACAGGACTGGGAACACTGGTGCCTCCTGGGGTCAAGCACATAGCACGAGGGGACAGGGTGACCTGGGAGGCATCTTGTCTACTCCTGTGTCCAGATCTGTGTGGCTTCCAAGGGCACACAAGTGGCTGCGGGGTACCTATGGGTGTCTGCCAGAGGTCTCCATGTGGGGTCCTGGGCGACACAGGATGTGCTGTCTCCCGGCTCCTCCCTCCCTCTTCCCTTGTCCTTCTTCAGCACTGCTGTAGAGATTGCCCCGAGGGTCTTTACACTGAGCACATTTCCAGAGCCTTTAAAACTCAGAGTTTTACTAAGTCCCTGAGCCGCTCAGGCTGGATTTAAACTTGGAGGCCTCCTGCCTCAGCCTTGGAATTATAGGTATATGCTACTGCACCCAGGTCCCTCTCTAACAGCTGGCAGTGATGTGTGGCCAGGAAAGTGGTGCCCCAGAAGGCCGGGGAGGACACCACTGCTGGCCCCACCCTGAGGCTGCGGGGCTGGGGTCCGTGGGGCTCTGGCTTCTGCCCCACCCTGCCTGCCCACTGGCCCAGCTTACGGTCATGGGGATGTTCCAGGCCATGTACACGTGGGACTTGAACTCGTCCATCCACACCTCGGCAGCCCGCAGTGCATTCCGCTTGGCGTAGTAGTCGATGTCATTGTTGTAGGGTTTCCTGGTGCGCTCGATATGGGCCACGCGGGAGCAGGGCAGCACCTCCATGCTGCCTCCACACTGCCACACCTGTGGGGCAGGCCACCAGCGAACAGCACTTCCCACCAAGTCCACCTCCGCCTGCACACAACTCAGGCCTTCACCCGCACTAGCGGCTGGCCTCCTCCCCATGGAACCCCGTGTGGGCAGCCTGCGGCCAAGTCAGTGGTCCCAGCACCCACGGAAGCTCAGTCCAGGCCCACGTTCAGCAGCTGGTGCCCCAGGACAGCCCCGAGCCCTCTTTGCGTCCCCACCTATCTCCTGTCTCCAGCACTAGGCTTCCTCTGGCCGGTTCCTTTCAACCACACTTACCTTCTTCCTGCTGTACCATGCCTGTCTCACTGCCCTCCCAGACGCATCAGCTGCACAGGGCCCAGGGCGCTGGGGTGTGGAGTAAGCAACTTTCGGGGTGCCTCTCTCTGGTGGGACCACCCCTGGAAGCTTCAAGGCCACCGAGCCTGGGGCGGAAGGTTCATGCCCAGCCTGTCCCTGCAGGCTGTATGGCATCATCTCCTGCTTCAGAATAGCTCAGACCAGAACCCACACCACCAGCTCCCCTGGAAGTCCAGCTGGTCAGCAGCAGATCCTAGGGCCTCTTGGCTCCCATATGGTGTGAGCTGTGTTCATGTTTCTATATCCACCTACATCTATGTCCGTATCTATGTCTATGTCTGTATCTATGAGTCTGATTCTCTGGAGAATTCTGGCTGGTAACTATCCTATACCAACCCATCCTATTTGTCTATCAAAGCCATCCACGCATCCATCCATCCACCCATCCCTCCATGTGCCATCCATCCATTCATCTGTCATCCATCCACCCATCCATCTTCCTATCCATCTATTCATCCATTCACTAATCCCTCCACCCATCCATCCATCCATCCCATCCCATCAGTCTACATCTATCCACCCATGTATCAATCCATTCCATCCACATCACCCACCTATGCACCCACCCCTCCATTCACTGTCCATCCATCCATCCATCCATCCATCCATCCATCCACATGTTCATCCATCTGTCCATTCCTGTGTCAGCTACACAAGATTGCAGAGGCAGAGCTGGGACCTGCCCTAGGTCTGAGGCCCCCGGCATCTCTGTGTGTCTGAGTCAAACTTCTCTCTGTCGTCTTTTGCAGGACGTTTGCCCACAGCAGTCCAGGACAGTCTCAAGATCCCTGCTGTAATCATGCTGTGAAGATGCCAGTTCCCAAAGGTCATACTCACGGGTCTGGGTGGACATATCTTTTGGGGGCCACCAATCAACCCACTGAGGGTCCAAGCCCCTCAGTTTAGGGAGCGTGGGGGTTGATTCCTGCCTCCTCCCTCCTCCATGAAGGCAAGGTGCAAACTGAGATGCACCAAGAAGCCTCCTGATTGGCAGCGCGCCGCCCTCCACCGCTGCCACAGCAGAACGTCGAGGTGCTCGAGCCATTTGGCACTGCACTGTGGGGCTGACGCTCTCGTGCTTGTGTTGCTGACCCGAGTGGAAGAACTGTAGATAGGGGCTTGCAGCACCTGAGCAGGAAGGCTCGGGTGATGAGGGTAGCGAGGCACAGGGCACTGCCTCACCGTGAGGCGCAGCCCCTCCCGGCCCTTCTTGGCATCAGGGTTGACTGCTTTCGCAGACAAGGGGTCTTTCTAGCCAGCACCCTCAGAGATGCAGCCACCGGCCCTTGGGAGCTGCAGTGTGCTCAGCCTACAGGCCAGCCTCCTGTCAGGGGTTCTGGAACATTCCCTAGCCTGGCAGAGCCAGGATGAACGCCGCTGTGGTCTAAGCTTGGAGTCTCTCAGGGCAGGGGTTGTGGATTAGTGGTGAAGTCCCTTACGGTGTGTGTCCCAGATTCCTGCTCCCAGCGAGGCAGCCAGGACCCAGCCTGGCCATCCCCCTGGGGACTGCAACTGTGGGGCTGACGCTCTCGTGCTTGTGTTGTGTCTCGTGCTTAGGGTCCCTGACCCTAAGCTGCCCCGCTCTGCAGTAGAGTTAAGGACTCTGGTGTTCCCAATGCCCTGCTTTCAGCCCTGCTCCGCCCACCTGGCAGAACTCCTTCCTGCATAGCCCTCCCCAGTGGCAGACTCCAGGTTGCAGGCTCCAAGACAGTCCCTGCCAGTGCACTCAGCACCTGGGGGAAGGCCTGCATCACATACCGGAGAGCTCCTGCCCAGAAGCGCTGAACCCACCAGAAGCCAGGTGCGGTAGTGCACGCAGGTCACCATTGTCTCTAGGAGGCTGAGGCAGGAGATCTCAAGTTCAAGCCCAGCCTGGGCGACCAAGGAAGGCCCCATCTCAAAAATTAAAAGGGCTGGGTATAGCTCAGAGCAAAGGTCCAAGTTCCCCCCAGGACCGTGAAGAGAGGAAAAAAAAAAATAAAACAGAAAGTAAGCGCACACGGAGAAGCCAGTGAAGGAAGACGGATGCAGGACACTCAGGAAAGCACACACGCTAGCAGCCAGGGTGCAGGTGGGCGCTGGGGCCTTCCCTCCGTGCCCCTCACTCTGCAGGGTTGGTCAGGGCCTCCCGGCACACGCGGGACAGAGATGCACGCAGCACACACGCAGCACACACTGCAATAGCCATGCACACATGTGTGCCTCACACACACACACTTGTGCAACACACGTTACACACACCACACACACGCATGCCCCACACATGGGCCCAGGCACCATGCGTGTACACACTCCACACACTTGTGTACACAGGCGCACACCATGGATGCACGTTCACACAAACATTGGCACACACTGTGTGTGCACATGCACCGCACAGTGCACAAGTGCACACATGGACACACACATACCAACCACACACGTATGTGCACACGCACCACGCCACGCATGAATGCAAGAGCAGCGCCTTTGGGGAGGGCGGGGAGGCCGTGCCGTGGTCCTGGACAGAAATGCAGAGTGCGTTTCTGCCGACCGGGTTGTTCAACCCCAGGCGCTGCTTGCAGGAGTTCCCCCAGAGCCAGACAGCGAGGGTGTGAGGGATGCGGCATCAGGCACTGTCATTAGTCCCATGATTGGGCCCCTGCGCATGCATGCACGCGCACACGCACACACACGCACTCCCATGCAAAGCTGTCCCTGCATCTCTGCTCTGCCACACGTGGTGCACAGGGTAAGGGGGCAGCACCTGGAGTTGGCCCTTAGTGAAACATGTGCTGCACAACCCTCTTCAGGGATGGGGAAACTGAGGCCTAGGGTATGCTGGTGACAGGTGACGTGGGCCCCTGTGGGCCCCAGAGCACACGCTTCCTACAAGCAGATCAGGAGCATCAGCTGGGCTGTGCCCCACCCCACCCAGGGACCCCCTCACAGCCTGCTGAATCCCCCAGGAAGCTCTGCCTCCTGCTGATGTGACCTGCGGTGGGGTCTCAGGCGCACGGCCAGTGCAGGTCAGAGGGTTCCGTGTCCCCACCTGGGGCCGGGGCTTCAGGGTGGCTCGTGGTTCTGTGTGCTCCTGGTCCTGACCTTTACGGACTCACTTGCCCTCAAGGGACACTGTGCATCCAGCAGTCACAGGAGCGGACCATGGCCCTGAGACCACAGAGTGACTACCCGAGAGCTATGGGGGTGGGGAGGTGGGTGCCATGGCGGCTGTGAGTGGGGCACCCCATCTGCTTGGGGCCGGGAGGGTGGGGGCAGGGGCACGCTGCGCCTGGGGTCTGGGCTTGGCTGCCCCAACCCCTCATCGCTGGGCCACCCTCCTTCGCCCTTCTCTCTCTGTCATCACAGGAAGCTGGGTACAGCCTTTCTTCCCTCCGCTCTGTTCACAGGGACCCCAGCTAGATGCAGCCAGACCACACTCAGGACAGCTGCTTCTCAGGGTCACCGTCCCAGTCTCAGGCAGGCAGAGCTTTGCAGAGCTCCAATTCGTGTGGGGGCACTCAGTCACCCATGAGCTGTTCTGTCACCGAACATGCAGTTATTGGTTTCAGGAGCCAAATTCTAATGGGGGAGGAGACAGATGACAAAATGAATTCATGGGGCTGGAGACCCGCCTCTGTGGGAGACACGGTGGGGCCCACCGGCTATGCAGGGCAGCTGTGCTCCAGGCCAGGGCCAGGGCAGCCCATGCAGGCCGGTGCACTCAGCCCAGGGGCACCTGGCGGGCTCTGCTGGCGAGCTGGCTCCAGCCAGGCTGGGTCAAAGGAGCTGGTTGTCCTAGGGGCCGCGGGTGCTGCTTCCCTTTGACCTGCTCGGCCTGTCTGCCTGGCAGCAGCAGGTCTCCTTTATCTCTGTGGGCACCTGTCCCAGGGCCCCTTTCCCTGAGCTCCCTGCCATCCCACAGGCTGTCTCACCGCAGCTCCTGTCATCTGTCCCTGCAGCATGGGCCGTCGGCCCTGAGGACCCTTGGCCAGAGGCTGGCACCGGGAGGGTCAGTGCCTGCGCCCATAGGGAAGGGCTCGCTTAGGGTAACTCAGGAGAGAGGCGCAGAGGGCCCTGTCCTTCAGCACCACTACGGAAGCCAGTGTTTAAAGGCTTTGCCAGATGAACCCCAATTCTGCTTTTGAAACATAAGCGAGGACGATCGGAAATGGGACACTGCGAGATCTAATACCTCTGCAGATGGTCCTGAGGTGCGTAGGAAGGAGGCTGTGATTTTGTTGAAGTTCAATTTGTGAGATACCTAGGACTCCAGGCTCTGGGAGGATTTATGATATAATACCAGACATATGAAGTGCTTAAGGAAAAAACAAACAAACAAAAAAAAAACCTACCTCACACCAAGTGTCACCTAGAAAAGTTCAAAGGGATTTAATTAGCTACAGGTGCAAATGGGTTTAAGGGCATTTAATCTGCTCACCTGAGCTAATCAGAGTGACAGCGTTGACTGTTCTTGTTTAATTGGATTTGCACCAATAAAACACGACCTTCATATTTAACATAAAGGCTTAGATGGGTTTTGAAAGTTGTGACTTTCATAAACCAAGCATAACATTTTAAAGAGCTAGCCTTAAGAATTCCTGGTTAGAAGCCCCACAGGCAAAACACAAAAGCCAAACAAGCCCATCCCAAGCCCTAAAGCACAAAAGCAGTGTGCACAGAGCCCAGACCAGACCAGCCAGCCTTGAGCCGCGCGCAGCAGGTGCCGAACCTCCAGCTGTGTGCACCGCCAGGCTCGGGGTCTCTCTGCCAGCATCCCAGGGCGTGAGGCCCTGCTGTCCTGCAAACGCAAGGACTGAGGAGTCCCCGGCCTCCAGGGCACTGTGGTGAGTATGATGACCCCCAGGGCTGGGGTGGACCTCGGGCTCAGACCTCGGGCTCCGTGGCATCTGCCAAGGCAGGCTCAGCCTGCACACCTTCACAGAGCAGGGCATGTCGACACACACGAAAACACAGTATGTGCTGTGTGCACACCTGCCGGTGGCAGGGTGGCCTGGGACAAGGATGCAGGGGAGCAGGTTAGGAGGAGCTGTGCAGCCAGCCCAGCAGGACGTGATCTGTTTACATGGGAGACAAGGACACGGACCCACCAAGGGACAGCGTGGGAGATGCAGGGTGGCAGCGGCAGCACAGGGCCAGGACAGGAGCAGCGTCCTTCCCTGGCCCCGGAGCATGGCTTGCCCCAGGACCCAGGGCTTCCTGCTCCTCCAGGCCTGCTCTCAGGTCTCAGGTTGTCGTGGTGGCCTGGAGCCCTATGTAACTTCTGGTGGATATGGCCTTTATCACAGAGGCAGTGGCTCCTGCTTGGAGTCGGAGCCCCCACAAGAGACCCATGCCAGGCAGTGTGTGGAACGTGGGCTCAGGTTGGCCAGTCCTGTGACCACAGCTGTGGACGCAGCACTGAGCCCTGCATTCTGAGCCCTGCACCATCTGGACCCTCCCAACACTGCCGCCTGCCAGCCTGAACCGTGCACTTACTGCTGAGGACGGTGACACTGACGGTGACGGTGAAGGCACCCAGCTGCACTCTGGGCGCTACGGCAGCAGGTCCCCTGAGCACCCGCTGTCTGCACCCACTACACCCAGCTCCCCCTTTAGGCCCGTACTTCCCTGTCCCCCACCCCTTCTGTCCCCAGTCTGTAATCACCACCTTAGAGCCCAGGGGTAGAGGGGCCTTGGCACAGGAGGTGGGTGCCCCCTCCATGGAGCAGAGCCTAGACCTATGCACCAGCCTGCCCTGAGCTCTCTGCCCTGCCCGTCCCCCACTGGGAGTGCCTGCCCACGGCCACACTGCCTGCAGCTCCTTCCTCAGTGTCCCCCCCGCCAGGCCAGATCTCTAGCTTTGCTCCAGGGACTGCGTCCTCCTCCTCCCTGGTGGGCCCGGGAGGCAGGGCCGCCAGCCTCACTCCCACCTGGCCCAGGGCCTGGCATCAGCACCCGGAGCATGCATGTTCGCGATCAACTCCAGGAAGCCTGGCTCCCTGCCAATGGGGTGAGGGTCCCCCAAAGTCGCAAGCCCCACACCAGTTGGTCGGGGCCCCCATACCTCTCTGCCTCCACCTCCCCATCAGGACCGCTGAGGACCAGCCCCTGTTCCCCTCCCTATGGGTGTCAGCTTCCGGAGTCCCTGCCCTAGCCACTCTGGGGGCCGTAGGACTCCCGCTGCGGCCCACGCTGGCCACTAAGTGGCCCCCACAGCCTGGGGCCTGCGCCTGCACTCACCCGCATGCCCAGCTCAATGTTCTCAGCTCCATACACCTCCATGCCAGGGTCCAGCAGGCCGATGTCCCCAAAGTACTCCCGGTCCACCACAAATGAGCAGCCGATCATGGCAGGTGTCCTGGGGCAGAGACAGCTGTGAGTGCCACACAGGTCCCAGGCCTGGCTCCACCCTCCACCCACTCCCATTGTGAGTGGGTGGCTGCATCTCCACCCTCAGCCCTCAGAGCCCGCTCCCCAGCACGGAAGAGTCCAGACCCTCCCAGCGTACTGAAACAGACCACAAAGACCACGTAAGAACTTGAGTGCAGAGGGGGCTCATCCACCAAGCCATGTGGCTCCTCCAGCACTTCCCTCGCAAGAGTCGCCCAAAGGGCTCTTCAGGTCCCTTCCCGCACGCAGTGTGCAGTGGTGTAGGTCGTGCACTGCTCGACTCCCAGATCCTGCCTGCTGTCAGACTTCGAAATTGCAGGCAGGACCTTCAGGTTTGTAGTAGCGGTGTTTGTGCCCACACATTTAGCCCATGCCACCATGCATGGATCGGCTGCTGGGTAGGTCTGTGGGTGCTCCAGGATGCTGTGGCGCAGAGAGCACCCTGGAGTGGGGAACTCATGGCGTGACACACGAGCTCAGCGCACAGCTGGGGCTCCCGCTACACACTACCCAGTTTCGCTTGCTGTGCACACGCGGCCCCCAGGCTACTGACAGCGGACTCTGCCTCAGTTTCCTCCCGCTCTCTAAAATCTGAGGGGGCAGCAAGGTACTCCACTGTCCCCGACCCCAGCCCCAGCACAGCTGAAGGGCCCACTGCCCACATAGGCAACGCTGGGGCTGACCTCGGCTGCCAGTGAATCTTCAATGAAACCAGCAGCAAGAGCGACTCAGCACAGTGCCAGAGGTGACCCAGCCCTGCGATGGCGCCGTGTGCGGCTGGACACGGCAGACTGATTGTGACGGTCACGAGGCGAGCCCTGCGTTCGCGCGGAGATCCAGTCTGCTCTGCTGTCAGATGGTGGCCACAAAGCTTCTGGTAGGACACTTCCGGCAACCTTTGCTAACGCATAGAAGCTTTGGGTTGCTAAGTTACTGGGCTGCCCTCCAGGGCTCTTGCACTTCCTCATCACGGTGGTCCACAGCAGCACCATGGGCTCCACTAGGCCTGTCTCAGAACAGCTCAGAAATCCAAATAAACTGTGTTCATTGGTGTGACAGTCTCGCTGTGGTTACAGAAAGCAGCTGGGCCTGAGTGTCATCTCGGATTTGGGGTGCTGGCCGGGAGGGGCCATCTCACCTCTGGCCGCTCTGCAGTTTTCAGGGTGACGGCAGGACGCAGCAGGGGCTCGTTGCACTCGCCCAAGCCCGACGCTGTCTTGACTCTGACTCAGATCCCTGTTGCCTTCGTAGCATTAAGAGCAGAACAGCCCCATAGATGGGAGGAGAGAAGCACAGCACGGCCGTCCAGCCAGCAGAGACTGCTTAGCCCAAGAGACAGCCGGCCACCAGGGGCCAAGGATGACTGGGAGAAGACGGGTGTGGTGGTGCACGCCTGTAATCCAAGCACTCAGAAGGCTGAGGCAGGAGGATCACTGTGAGATCGAGGTCAGCCTGGGCTACAGAGTGAGACCCTGTCCAAACAAAAAAGATGCTGGGAGGACGCAGCTTGCGGTGGCCACGTTGGGGCCCTTACCAGCCACGTCTGATGCCACTGATGAAGCACTGTTCCGAGCTGTCCAGTTGAGTGAGGTTTCAGTTTGAACTGTGTTGTAGGTGGAAGTGACGAAGACCTCAAGTGGGGATCCCACATCCTCTGGACCATTCTCTGCTGACACCCCGCAGCGGAGGGGCAGGCGAGCCTGCAGTGGTCGCTGGCTGGTGTCTCCACCCGTGCAGACATCCGCATGCATGTGCGAGTGAGGACGCCCCGCGACTCTGACACTCCATGTGAGGATGTGATGGCTGACAAGACTTCCACACTAACACCTTCTGATCCTGCCTTGGAGTGAGGACATGTGTCTGGCGGGATTCCGCCTGTGCCCTGACCCTCAGCTCGCAGAGGCAATGACTCACAGGTCTGCCTGTCACTCCTCATCCTGAGTGAGAGAACGTGATGCCTGGCCGGCCTGCCCGTGGCTCTGATCCTCAGTGTGATGTGATCATGTCTGACAGCGTGCTCCCCTTTCTCCAGAAGTTGGGAGAAGCCAGGAATGTGGGTAGTCTGTGAAAAACTACAAGCAGGGCACAGCGCCAGCTCAAGAGAGCTCTGTGAGAGCCGCAACCACCCGCAGTGCCATCAGGGCCGAATCACCCCAGCCCTTGAGCTCACAGCTTGCCACGGATGGCCTGGAACGCTGCACGTGGAAGGAACTTGGGGCTTAATGTCTACCTGCTGGATTTTGGACTTGCTTTGGTCCCACTCCTTTGTTTCCCCATTTGTAACTTTTGGAGTGGAAGTGTTTATCCTGTGCTATTACATATTGGAAATGTTTAACTTCTTTTTCGCCTGCGCAGGGTCATGCAGTAAGAGTTTGTTTAAATCTCAGAGGAGACTTTGGACGTGGACTTCTCAGCAGTGCTGGAACTGTTAGGATTGTGGCAACTCTTGATGGACTAGGTGCCCTTCGCATTGACGGATGTGTGAGAGTCTTTGGGGGCCAGGGATGGAATACAGTGTGTGTCTGGTTGTCTCTCCAAAGCCTCATGCAGTTGTAAGTGGGCTTTTCGGACAAGGGCGATCTTCAGTGTGCGGTGCTGGGGTTGACTCAAGGTGTGGTCGTAGGCTAGGAAGCCTGGATGGGACGTGGCAGGCTCGTTGCTTGAGGCTCCCTTGCTTTTGCTGCCCTCTACCTGCTGTGGGCTTTCTCCTCTGACGCCCCTCCGCCATGCGACCCCTCCTTGGGGCCAGCCAGCTGCGACTGGAAACCTTTACAAAACACGAGCTGGAATAACCCGTCCTTCTTTGACTTCAGGTGTTGGACACTGTCTCAGTGGCAAGAAAGCACGCAGACAGGCGGGGCGTCCGATAGGTGTCCCTGCTGCGGGCTCTCGAGCAGGCAGTGTGCAGCAGCGCAGCCCCGCCATCGGCAGTGAGGAAGGCAGCGGTCGCCTACCTGGCGCACGGCACCCAGCTGTATCCCTGGCAAGTGGCAGGGTGGTTCCAGTGGTCCTGTCATCTTCACGGCCCTCACTCTCAGGTGCTCAGCCCCTGAACAGTGTTGCCCGGGCCCAGGGTCAAAGCCTCGGTGTGCTCATGTATTTTCAGTTGTTCTGTAGATCCCCAGCATTTGCCTGGACGGTCATTCATGAACTTTCTCTAACTCTCCAGGGTAATCTGGACTCTGACACAGTGCCCTTTTATTCAGCTCCCCCAGGCCCACGCGGCTCTCTGCTCCATACTCCCCACCTCGGTACTGTCTAAGCGTCTCTTTCCTCCTCGTCCTGGGCGTGCGGGGCTTGGCCACGAAAGCCTCTGTCCCGCCTGGCCACTGTGTGCCCCTCCCGAGTGGGCTGGCTGTGCGCGCCCTGCGTCCTGTGCCACCTCTGCGTGGCTTCCTGTGCTCTCAAGGGCTGCCGGCCTGGAGCTCCATGGCTCTCGGTGCTGCTCCGGGGCTGCGTTCGGCACTGCTGTGCACCAGACCCCAGAAGGCTTGCGGTCCCGCCCAGGCCTCTGCGCTGGACCCAAGGGAGGTGCTGCCTTTGGGCCCTGAGTCCACTGACTTCTTAAATGCCACCCACAAGGTGGGGACTTTCAAGTGCATCAAAGGAGGAAAGTGACCCAAGACCTTGCTCCTTGCTCAGGGAGGAGCCCAGGCAGGTTCCTACCTATGGTGCCCTCGTGGGCTTGGCTGGGCAGCAGGGCCCAGCTCTGGGCTCCCAGGGCTTCGGGACTCCACCCCGCCTCTCTGGTCACCCACAGAGGCAGATGTGCCAGGCCCCTTGAGGGCTCCCACAGGACAGAAGGTCTCAGTGCTCTGGGCAGCTGTGGCTAGGGCACTCAGTGGCCTATGATGGGACAGGACGGGCCGGCCGACGCAGCCTGGGGAGACCCAGCTGGGGGCTTGGTGTCAGCGTGCTCATCTCCAGGGACCCACAAATTCTGAGGTAAGGCTCCAGGGGCCGCCTGGAGAGATAACTCCGCGTCCAGGAAAGACACTCAGGAGGCACCCTACGAGAGCAGCCTTGCGCTCCCACAACCTGCACTCAGCATTTTAGGTCAAAGGAATTGGTGGAAAATGCTCGGTGCCAAAGCCCGTGCCCATCACTGCTGGCCCGGTGGCCGCATCTCCTTTGCCGCTGTCCCGGTCCCTGCCACCCCAGCGCCCTCCTCACCTGATGGGCGCGGCCTCGTCGCCGCGGTCCAGCCAGTCCTGTGGCGGGATGATGTACATGCACCACAGGCCCCAGTTGTAGCCATGCGCCGCGCTGGCGTACTGCTGCACCTCGAACGTGCTGTACTTGATGTTGTCGATGGCCGGCAGGACCACGCGCCGCCGGTCCTCGTGGATCCTCGCCAGGACGGGCTCAGCCCTGCAGGTCGTGAGGCAGGGGCCCAGGGCCCCAGCTGAGCGCAGCCACGCAGCCTGACCCGGTCCCCTCCCCTTCCCCACCTCTGCAAGGCCCACACTTTGCAAGCCCTGGCTGAAAGCCTGTCTGCACGACGCTCTGCCCTCACACTTGGGGATACGTTTGTGAACTGAGATAAAAATCCCCTCCTCAGGGAGCTATCGCACGCTGGACAGGGCTGCGGAGCACTGTGTGCAGTGCACAACCTGCACAACAGGCCCGGCTGAGCGGGGGTGAGCGGGGGTGAGTGCTGTGGGGAACAGAGGGCCACGCAGGGCACCCGGGCATCCAGGGTGGGCTGTGCTGGTCCTGGGATGAGGTTGTGGGGGGCTGGACATAGGGACCAGTGTGCTGAGTGCCTCAGAGGGCACAGCAGAGGGACGACCCCACAGGACTCCTGAGGCGCCGGCGGGGCCCCATGGCATGGTGCCCACAAGGCCTGCTGAGCTGCTGGGCCAGCAGGGAGGGTGCATCCAGGCACACCCCTGTGCTCCGCCAGGAGGACGGATTAACCGCCACCCAGCAGGGGCTGCTAGCCAGGATGGGCAGCGCTGCGCCTGCGACACTGGCTCAGTCACCCTTTGCCAGAGCAGACAAGGCTTGGAGTGCATGCCAGGCCTCCATGAACTGATGGCACATTTGAGGGGTGCAGAGGCTGTGGGGCCCTGTTGTGCTGTTCTGTGCAGTGTGCGACTCAAGCACTGTGGGTGACCCTGGGGGGCAGACGGTGACGCACAGTTAGTTGTTGATGCAGTATGTTAGGACGTGGCAGCCACAGAAAAGCAGAGCCCCTGGCAGCGTGCAGGAGGAGGGAGAAGTGGGGGTGGTTGGGCACTCAGCAGAGGGAATCTGAGTCTGCCAGAGGCCTGCTGGGCAGGCCCAGCCCTCCGAGCAGTGGGGCCACAGTGACTGAGAGCCCAGGACTGTGTGAAGTGGGTGTGGCGGAGGATGGGCTGATGGGCCAAGGACCCCAAGCAGGGCCACTGGAAGGATGTCCCCACACAAGCCAGCACCCAGGGCCCCACCACCACTGGGAGATGGCGCCCGTCCTGCGCAGAGATGATGGCCTTGCGCTCTATGCCCGGGACAGCACCACAGGCGGCCCTCAGCCTCAAAGACATGTTGGGAGCAGCAGAGCCTGTGCATCAGCTTCTCCGCAGTGGCAGGATGTCCGCTCACCTAAGCTGGGCCCTGGGCAGCAGGAGCTGACACAGCCTGAGTGGCAGGAGGGGCAGGAGGGGGGCCTGGGGAGCCCCCAACTTCCCATCCTGGTCTTGCTGCTGGGTGACCCAGGTGGTCAGCCACACACCCTCCCCTCTCTCCTATTTGGGCAGTGACGGGGACTCTGGACCCAGAGTTTCCCCCGAGTGTGGAGCTGCACCCTGTCCTGGTGACTCCTGGGGCCAGGCAACACTGGGGACTGTATGACTCGTAACCTGCACCTCCGCCACACCTTTGTCCCCGACCTGGTGCCCACAGGGGTCACTGAATTCCCCTCACCAGCCGGTGTTGAACTCCACGTGAGCATCGAAGAAACCCACGACAGGTGCAGTGGCCGCCTTCCAGCCCTGCAGCCGGGCACGGATCAGGCCCTCCCGCCGGCTGTTGCGCACAACCTTGACCAGCCCTGGGTACCGCCTGTGCACGTACTGGTCCAGGCTGAACTTGAGGTCCACTGCGGAGACAGGAACCGGAGGTCAGTACTTCTGGAATGTTCCCCAAGGACATGATTCTGTTTTCAGGGGACAGAGCCTGGCCGTGGGAGCCACTGTGGCAGAGGGAGAGGGACAGTAAAAAGACAGCCACACAGATGGGGCAGGACGGGGATCTGGGGCCTGGAGGGGACCATGTCCCACAGGGAGCAGTGAGCAGGATGGAAGTACTCTGACCCCGCCACTTGCTGGCTGTGCCCGATGACCTCACACCAGGTGGCCAGCACCACGTCTGAGTGCGTCTGAGTGCGCCAGGGCCAAGAGCCCTCGCAGGCGGAAGCAGGGGCGTGGGGCGGGGAGGGGCCAGGATGGGTTGGTGCTTAAGGGGACAGCGTCTCGGGGTGGGTGCTTGTCAGGTTTGGTGTTGACAGCTATGTAGCAAGCAAGGCCTCAAGACACTTACAGTGCTGTCCTTGTTTGTGTGTATTTGAAAGGAGCATGCACATCCACATGGCATGGCGAGGGGGAGCCGCAATGGCTCTGCACAGTGACGACTGACTGTCTTTAGGAGGCTAAGCGCCCGCTGTGTCCTCCTGCTTACCGTTGTCACTGTTGTCGTCCACCAGGATAACCTCCTTGAGCAGCCGCGAGGGTGTGTGGTTGACCACGCTGTGCACCGAGCGCAGGATGACTGATAGGGCCTCGTTGACGAAGATGAAGACCACGGAGAGCTGTGGGAGGTCCTCAGCGTAGGCCATCTGTCGGCACCTGCAGGGGTACGAGCAGTCTGCAAGGTCCTGGGGCCACCAGGAGGGTCTGAGCACCAAGCAGATGCAACCTGTGTGACCACAGCGCCCGGAGCCTCAAGACCTTGGGAGGCTGGAGCCCTGTGGTGGCCTTGCCACCTGGACTGTGCCCCGGGTGGCAGAAGACCCCAGGAGTGGCAAGGTGTAGGTAGGAAAAGCCGTGAGGCCTCCGCTGACCCAAGCACCAGACGGGGGGAGCTGGGACGTAGGACTGCAAGGCCACACGCGGGACCCGGGGCGCAAGCGTGTTTGGTGACTAAGGCTGCGATGGAGTCACAAGGCAGCAGTGGGGAATCAAGCAGCCTGGGCCACAGGCGAAAGTGAAGTTTCGGGTAGAGGATGAAACAGCGCAAGGGACTAGCTGGGTAGACGAGACTGCTGGGGTCACCGGAGGAAACAGAGGGCCCTAGAGCCAGCAGAGCTATTCGGCCGTGTCAGGCACACAACACTGCTCACAACAGGCACAGCAGGGTGAGTTACAAGGGCTGAAATCCTCCTGAATGGAGATGCACACCAGGTAAGCCCTGTCCCCCAGCGCGGAAGCAGGCACAGGGCAGGCACCCCGGGTACCGGTTCTGAGGGAGACAGAGCACTCCGCGCCCAGCCCCAGAGGGGCTGACAGGTCAGGTCAGCAACACAGGCCGAGTCCTGCAGGGAACCAGGAGCCAGGTGCCGAGGGGGCAGAGCTAGAGAAGCCCACTGCTGGGGCAGCCCAGCCTCCTGGCCAGGGAGCCGCAGGTCACCTGCAGAAAGCCACTGCAACTGCAAAACAGGGCGGCGCTGACTAGGGACACCCCTCATCCATCCATCCTGCAGCCCCGTTTCCAAGGACACACTGAGGTCTGGGGGCCCTAAGGAGTCACCGGAGAACAGGCCTGCTCGGGGAGGCAGGCATCCAAGTCCGTGCACTGTGCGTGCACTCCGTGTGCACAGCACCCGCTGCCCGGGTGCACCGCGCACCTCCTGCGAAGAGGGCACCCTCCCTGGAGCCGTGTTCGAAGGCCTCCGGCCCAGGTCAGGAGACCGACCCCCGCGGCAGCCCCCAGCAAGGTCACGGTGGGAGCCACCAGCACGGCTGCGAAGGGACCGCTGCCTTCCACCGCTGTCGCACTGGTGAGCGGGCAGGTGCCCAGCCAGGGAGGTTCCACTACCAGCAAAGCGCTTTTGGGCAAGAGGGCTCCACTCCACCCTCGGAGGACACAGTCGGGAGCAGTTTTCATGAATTTGCAGCAGCACATGTACCACAGAGAGAAGCCGAGACAGGAAGTGCGTCCTCCAAGGACAGCAGGGCCGCTGCGTCCCTGTGTCACCTGGCTGGTGGCCTCCGTCTCCTGTTGCCCATCATCCTGTGTCCCTCACCTGCACCTACGGGGTCTCTTGCAGCCAGCCATGCATGTGTGGAAGACACACACACAGATGCCAGGTGCAGGACGGTGCCATGAGGCGTTCACGCTCCCTGTGTCCTCACGCAGCCTTGCCGTCACCAACAGCAACACCGAGTCGAGGCTGGCAGCGGAGACAGCCGGCTGTGTTTGGGGCAGCTGTAGACCCACAGCTCCCCTCCTCCTAGGTTAGCAGGCCAAGGCCCAGTGGGCCTGGCCACTGGGCGCAGGGCTGCTTCTGAGAGCTGTGTCCCAGCTCTGGGGCAGGTAGGGGGCTTTCTCTCTGATAGGTTCTGGCCCTAGTATGAATTGCTGAATTATTGTCGTGGTCATCTAACATGGCTGAAGCCCTAGAACAACAGCTTATCTTCCCAGAGACTTCCTCCTCCTCCTCTTCCTCCTCCTCCTCCCCCAACCCAGTCCTGGATAAAATTTCATTTTACCCGTCCCTGTGCCAAAAGGGAGACCCCAGTCAGCTCCTCAGGGGCCATTAAACCTGCCCCTCAAAGTACGCTTCTGGCAAAAGTCTATAAAGTCTCAGCCCCCCACTGTCTCAGATCAGAGGATCCCCCCAACTCCCTGGGATTCTCTCAGTGTCTTTAGGGTCAATAAAGTCCTCTTTTATCTTTCCTAGCTCTTTACCATTGCCTCCCAAAAAGCCTGACACTCTACCCCTGGGGCCTCAGGCTCAGCCCAGCTAGGAACTGCAGGGAACCCCCCTTCCTCCACAGGGCTCCTGTTCTCCATCCCAACCCCCAGGAAACTCTCCTCTCCCAGGCACCAACACATGCACCCCACAGGCTCCGGCCTGCTCCTGGCCCAGGGAAAGGCAGGAGACGCCCAGAAATTAGCAGGGAGGCAGACGCTTCCAGAACTGTCCATAGTTTGCAAGCAGAAGCCTGGGGTGGTGGGGTGGGTGATGGCCAAGCCAGACTTGACTGACATGAGCAGAAAGAAGGTTTGCGGACCCATCTCCCGGGGCCAGCGTGGCCAGTGGCCTAAACAGTGTCACAAGCCTGGCTGGTGCTTTTCTCTGGCTTGGTGTAGCCACAGCTGAGTCTGTGCTCAGAGCTAGAGGGTGGCTTCTGGTAGACCTACACCTGGCAGGTTACAGTCCAGGGAGGGGAAGCTGGGTAGCTTTCCCAGGACATTAGCATTGCTGTATCTCTGGGCTCTGATTGGACAAGGCACCCGTCCCCAGCCAATCACCACAGTTGGAGAAAACAAAGGGCTCTGATTGGCTCATGCTTAGAGGGCATATATTTGATTCCTGAAGTTGGGTGAGGGTGGGGAGGTTTGGTTCCTGAGAAGCCACTCATAAAGGCAAGTGGACATCAGTTGCCAGGAGAGAGTAGATGTCCACGGCAAGAGGTGAGGCGTCGTGACACAAGCATGCAGGCCGTCCTAGGCCTGCGTCTTCACGGGGCTCATGCTGGGTGCACTGTGGGCCCCCAAAGACTGTGGACTGCTGAAAATAATGACTTCCTCACAGACAGACAGACAGACAGACAGCAATCTCTAAGAGGAGAGACACCAGAGCACCCTCCTCTACCAGGCTGAACCCAGACCACAGAAAAGAGGAAGGCGCCAAAGACTCCCTCACATGGCTCCAGCCCCTCCAGTGAGGAGACAAACGGCCAGCAAGTGTTGAAAAGAGCCTCAACAGCTCTGCCCGCAGGGAGGCACAGGCCCAACGCAGAGTTCCACACTGCTCTCGTTGGGGACGCCGAAGACCAACGCCCAGCCACGCTGCTGATGGCCACCAGCCACACCCAGGCTGTGTGGATGACAGTGGGCAGGGCTCGTAGACAGCCTGCCGCCCACAGGCTTCACGTGAGCCCGGCGGGGAAGGGGCTCTGGGCTGGACTTGCCCCCTGCACCGTCTTGCTGGTGGTCCCCGCCTCACCCAGGGCCTGTTCACCTCTGACCCTGGTGAGACGCATGTCAAGCTCCAGAGCTCCACAAACTAAGGGCCAGGCCTGTAAAACATACAACAATCGTGCCTTGGGAAAGGAATGAAAGGAGTTCTTGCGCGTGCCAAGGCCCCTAGACGGTAAGCAGACACTCTGAAATGACGCCCAAGATTTGGAGGCAGATTATTTATGTCAATGGGCGCTGTTCAGGATTATTCCCAAAATATCAGGCCCTAGTCTCTGGTGGTCTGTGGCTTCTATGGGATAGGCAGGAAGTACAGAGGCAGCGTGGCTCTTCCACTGGGGATCAGTTTATACAATGTGCATCACAGTGACCAGCCAGCAGGCCCCACGTCCTTCAGAGTGGGCCGCAGCTGAGTCCCGCTTCCCCCAAGGCCCTGGGGCCTGGGGTGTCTCTGTGGGGACCAAGGTGAGCAAACAGAAAAATGTTTTAGGGGACGCCTAACAGTGAAACACCCGCCAATTAAAGGAGAAAGGAACAAGGGCCAGTGAGACAGCTCAGTGGACTAAGCGCCTGCTTTGGCAAGGGAAGGACAGGGGTTCTAGTCCCGTCCTACGTGCTGCGCCAGTCCTGCCCCCGCGCGCACTGAGCCTGTGAGCAAGTCTAGGCCCGGTGACCCATGCCTGTAATCCCAGTGCTAGGGAGGCTGAGGTGGGTTCTCTTCACCTAAGCACACTGGAAATGTTCTCAAATTCTCTAAAGAGCAAACTTGTTGAGAAGAATTTCCTGTGATTTCTTTGGGGCTGGAGAGATGGCTCAGTGGTCTAGGGCACCTACTTGAAACAAGCTTGGCAAAGCACAGGGACCGCGGTTCGATCCCCAGCACCACATGCCAGCCAGCCCCGCCCCCTGGTGGGCTGAGCTGGCCATACACACACACAATAAATAAAAAAAATGTAATAAATAAAAAATAAATACATATTATAAAAAAAAAAGAATGATTTCTTTGAACAAAGCTACAGTGGGAAGTTTTTATGACCCTGAGAAATTCCCAAGATTTCTCTTTTCACGTTGGCGGCTTCACGGTCTGTGTTAAAGGGCTTCTGGTCACCCTCGGTACTCACAGACACCTGCGCCAGGGTCAGGGACACTGAGAAGCCGTCTGAAGCCGTGCGTCGGCTCTGAGGCGCACGGCAGGAAGTGGAGAGGCAGGAGGAAGCTGTGTCCAGGACCCTCCATGTCCACAGCACCCCAGAGGGTGGTAGGAAATGTCCCCATGCTGGCTTGGGCCACCCAAGTTCTGAATTCCATTAGGGAAGAGGAAGGGGAAAGGAGAAGGGGAAACCACTGGCTTTTAGGAGAGGCAAACACACCAGAACAGTGACACACAGTCCACAGGGCCACGGAGGGAGACAGGGGCCTGTCACTTCGGCCGCCCATCCTGCAGGGTGTCCCACGAGCAGTGCCCAGCCAGGGGATCCCCGCACCCCCTCCTTCTGACACCCCTCTTGGTTCTGTCCTATGATACCAGTTAGCATCCTTTTAACAATCACTCATTGCAAACACCTATAGTTCACGAGTTGTTTAAATTAGAAATAGTACAATATTTGTTGCTTATTTTTTGTCCTGTACCACCTTGCATTTAAAAAACCCTGTTATATATAACACCAGGCCCTTCTAGGTTTAACAAACTGTGTTAAGTGTT